CAGAGGGGTTGCTCTTTACAGGTACTGGTCTCTCCACTGATTTTTCTCTCCTTACAGGTGAATCCTGAACTCTCAATGGGAGTCAGGAATGAGACACAGGTGGTGGAATTTGTCTTCCTGGGTTTCTCCGGCATTCCGAACAGCCACATCTACCTCTTCCTGCCATTCCTAGTCATTTACTTGGTCACCGTGCTGGGCAACCTCACGATATTTACTCTGATTCAACTGGACTCCAGCCTCCATACGCCCATGTATTACTTCCTCAGCCATCTCTCCTGCCTCGACATCTCCCTCTCCTCTGTCACAGTCCCCAAGATCCTGGTGAACTTCTTGCGCCAGCGACAGACCATCACCTACAACCAGTGCATGGCCCAGATGTTCTTCCTGCTCTCTTTCACGGGGACGGAGGCTGCAATGTTGGCTGTCATGGCCTACGACCGCTATGCGGCCATTTGCCAACCTTTGCATTACTCCCGCCTCATGAGCACCAAGGTGTGTGCCATTTTAGCCTTTGCCACCTGGGTCTGGGGCTTCCTAAATTCTGCTCTCCATACAGCGCTCAGCACCACATTGTCCTTTTGTAGCAGCAACCAGATCAGTCACATCTTGTGCGATGTCCCCCCACTGTCGAAAATTGCTTGCAATGATGCCCACATCAATGAAATGGTAGTCCGCATAGCAAGCTATTTTGTGGGTGGGGGACCCTTCTTCTTCCTCGTTTTCTCCTACTCCTTAATTCTGCGCTCCATCCTGAAGAGCCATTCCACCACCGGCAAGCGCAAAGCTTTTTCCACCTGTGCTTCTCACCTCATCGTTGTCATCATTTACTATGGAAATGGACTAGTTAACTACAACCGTTCAAGCATTGGTGGTGACTCCATGGAGACTGACACCCTGGTCTCCATCATGTACTGCATGGTCTCCCCCATGCTGAACCCCCTCATCTACAGCCTCCGCAACAAGGAGGTGAAGGGGGCCCTGAAGAAGGTGCTGGGAAGCCAGAGGAAGAAAGGTTAAAACACTTGAGGCTCTTTAGTTTGGAGAAACGACGGCTGAGGGGTGACATGCTTGAGGTCCTAAGGGGGCGGTGGCGCAGGCAATACAACGCCTGCTGATAACATCTGTAGCGAACAGCCATAACGGCTGTTCGAATCCCCACCGCGGCCCTCGTCCCAGCTCCCGCCAACCCAGCGGCTCTAATAACAACAGAGGAATGGGTACTTGCCCTAGGTGGCAGGGGGCACCCTCCTCCTGGCTTACGCTGGGAAGGCGATCGGCAGCAGTAAGGAAAAGGAGAATCGGCGGCAGCGAGAAAGCAATGGCGGCAGCGGAGAGCGACCCAGGAAAGGCAGCGGCTGGATCAAGCGGAGGCGGAGCCGGAGCAACGCGCTGACGTGGAATGCAGCGCGGCAGGAGCTGTCAGGACATTAGCCAAAGCTGCACCCAAAGACGCGCCACTCCGGGGAGAGAAAAACCGAGACAGCCTGCTCGAGCCCGGCCGACAGCCATCTGGATCACCGGAACAACAAAGGAAGCTGCCAGAGAAGAAAGGATGATGCCGAATAAAAGGGTGCTGGTAGGCTACCCCCTCAACCGCTCTGAGACCCATTAGGGGTCATGGGCGGTATACAAATCACATGTAAATAAAAAATAAATAAATAAAAGGTTTATAAGATTATGCATGGGATAGAGCAGGTCGAGAAAGAGGTCCTTTTCTCCCTTTCTCACAGTACAAGTTTTGTCTATTGAAGAGGCAAGAGATGACAGCAGGACAGCTCTGGAGAGCTAGGATACTAGCGGCAAGTCAACATCATAGAACAGCATAGAATTAAACCCAATACACAACAACAAGAAGTCGTGAGCACTCAATGAAACTGCTGAGCAATCGGGTTAGAACAGATGAAAATAAGTCCTTCTTTACCCAAAGAGTGATTAACACCTGGAATTCACTGCCACAGGAGGTGGTGGCGGCTACAAGCACGGACGGCTTCAAGAGGGAATTAGATAAGCCTATGGAGCAGAGGTCCATCAGTGGCTATTAGCCACAAGGTATAGATAGGGGCTCTGGGGCAAGGGATGCTCTGTATTCTTGGTGCCTGGGGGGGTGGGGGCAACAGTGGGAGGGCTTCTGGAGTTCTGGCCCCGCTGGTGGACCTCCTGATGGCACCTGGTGTTTTTGACCACTGTGTGACACAGAGTGTTGAACTGGAGGGGCTGATGGCCTGATCCAACACTGGCTTCTCTTATGTTCTTATATGGAGCAGAGGTCCATCGGTGGCTTTTAGCCACAAGGTATAGACGGGAACTCTCGGTCTGGGGCAAGTGATGCTCTGTCTTCTTGGTGCTTGGGGGGGGCAACAGTGGGAGGGCTTCTAATGTCCTGGCCCCACTGCTGGACCTCCTGATGGCACCTGGTATTTCTGGCCACTGTGTGACACAGAGTGTTGGACTGGATGGACCACTGGCCTGATCCAACACTGGCTTCTCTTATTTTCTTATGTTCTTACAAAGACTGCACATCCCCACACTATAAGTTAGGGTGAGTGGGATATGTTCTGTGTTCCCTTTGAGAGCTACGTAGCTTTAGAACTCCATGAACCGTGCTGTTAACGGGACTATTATGTTGCTGTAGTGGGACATACTGACATGGTAGGGACGAGAACAGGACAGGAAAAAATGGCACTGGTTACCGTAACATGAACAATGCCATACACAAGAAGCCAAAGTCGAGAATTAAGACTGTAAGAACGGCAAAAGAATAAAAAGAATGAAAACCAGTGGCCACAGGGAAGAGCACACAACACATGTTCTTCGCTTAATGCCTCTCTCAGTAAAAGATGGTGGGAATAGCTTACGCTGTAATAGACTTTTGTTAGTGACTGAGGTGTCCCAAGACCCCTGTCTACTTCTCCCACCACTCCCTAACGCAGCAGGTACCCCTCAGTGTTTATTTGGAAGAGAATAAAATGGTCCTCTACAGTCGATGAGAATTTAACCTCCTTATTGTCAGAACCCACAGCCAACAACAAAGTACACGCATTCAAGAACGGTAATACTTTTATTGCAGAGCTATAGATGCAGTAACATAAGCACTGTTAGGAATGGCGGCGGCCCCATGGGCATAATAGGATATAGGGTATTCGTATGCACCCCCCCCCCAGAGCACTGGCCAATTAGGCACCCTCCCGCACGCGGGATAAAGCTTGGAGACCGTTAGGTAGCTAAAGCTGAGAACCAACACTCTCCCACGGCACCTAGGAGAAACCTACCAGGAGCTCGAAGGAGCTCCGCTCGCACCAAGCACGATGGGCGGAATGAAGGAGGGGGGCGAGGGCCGGCTCAGAAAACGTCTGGCCCCGCCCCCTATCAGTACCCAAATTTTGAGCCAAATTTTGTTTGGTTTCTGAGGTGTCCCAAGACTCTTCTATACTTCTGCCACCACTGCCTAACACAATAGCTGCCCCTCAGGCAGAAGGAGCCCAGAATACAGGATCAGTCATGGAGCCCCTCTTCTCATCCATGCTCTATTATTCATGTTGAGCAAAAATGGGTTCGAAGGATGTATACGGCGGGGTGGGGGAGGTTTTTAGGACAGTGAGTGTGACAAGGCGCCATGGGGGAATGTCTGCAAGAGCATGGGAAAGGCAGGCACCCACGAGAGCCACACAGCCTTACACTCAAGCAGGCGAAGAGAAAGAGGAAAAGGCCTTCCCAGATAGAGGGAGGGAAGAACAAGAGGTGGTGGAGGGAAAGGAAGACCCCATGCACTGTCATACGACCCCTCCCCCTCCCCCGCTGCTTGGACTGGGACGAAGTTATTTGTTCCGTTGTTCTCTGTGTCTATACAGTCCATATAACTAAGCATATTCCATGTACTTGTGTTTTAGATGTGCCTTAAGATGCCCTGATGTTTTAATGCTGAATTTTTGTTTATATATTTTATTATATTTCTATTCCGCCTTTCCCAAAGGCTCAGGGTGGATTAGGGCTCCAGTGGCTCAAGTGGTTAAGACCCTGAATTGCAGACCGGAAGGTCGGAGGTTCAGCAGTTTGAGACCTGAGTGCCGCATGACGTGAGCTCCCGTCTCTGGCCCCAGCTCTTGCCAACCGGGCAGTTCGAAAGCAAGAAATTGCAAGTCGATTAATAGGTGCTGCATCGGTGGGAAGGTGACAGTGTTCCGTGCACCTCGGCATCGAGTCATGACAACCACATGACCACAGAGATGTCTTCAGACAGCACTGGCTCTCCGGCTTAGAAACGGAGATGAGCACCGCATCCCTAGAGTTGGATTCGACTGGCGTTCGAGCAAGGGAGATCTTTACCTCTACCTTTACCAGGGTGGATTACAACAATAAAACAATGATTGCATATAAAAATACATAATCTGTAACATAATAAAGTCAGACACTGGTCATTCATAAATAATCAATAAAGTAAAGGGAAGTGAATGGGTGGATAAGAACATAGAACATAAGAACATAAGA